AAATTCTGCCAGTACTGTTGCACCTGGAGAGCACACAAGCACCTAAACACAAATATGAAAATATAAGCATGCACTAAACTGGACATATATATCATGCACACCACCCCAGTGTAATACACGTAACACACACAAGTACACATATAAACACATTTTATTTGGCCACGACAGCATAGATGCAGGTGTTTAACCGTTAAACATTGTGTCACTCTAAGCTCAATTTACAGAGGTTCAAGGTCAGATCAGTCAGTGTCTCAGATCTACTGCCCTTTTCTGCTCCATCGTCCACAATCTCTCTTCCAGTCTGACCACACTAGCTTTGGAATGAGCCAATCCTGTAGTCTTCAAAGAAAGGTAGAACAACCACATACTGATACAATGCAATAGCAGTGACTCTTACATATATAGTGCCTCCCTGTAAAGCAGTACAGACACATACGGCATTGGGATATAATTAATATGCAAAATTACAACATCTATCCTAAGACCCATATTTGATTGTGCACAATGAAACCAAAAGAAAGCCACCCAATTATGGCCAGTGCTGTATTCAAGAAATTCTTTGCTTCACCCCCTGTCCTTTTTTTTTTTTCGCTGTGAGGTCAAAGTTTTCACCTTATCTGGAAGCCATCAGCAGTACCAGTCCCACCTCTGTGAGTCATTTAGTTGAAAATGTTGCACGTCGTTAAAATATTTCTCTCTAGGTCTGAGAAGTAGGAAAAAGGAAAAAACATTACACACAGAGACATTTAAAGCAATACTTCACAAACGAGGTAATCCAGGTCTCCGCCAAGATTTTCACTGCCAGTTACGCCATATATTGTCTAGCGGGCAGACTACAACTCAGATGTTGCGAAGGAGAAAGAGGAGGAGGAGAAGGCAAAGGAGGGGGTTGATTCTGCTGTGATCCAGTTTACTATTTTGGCTGGGGCTTTCTTCTCGCTGTGTGGTCATGGAGAGATCGGCAAAGCCAGCAGGCATTGAGGACACTGGCTGGCCGCAGCCCGACACAGAGGCCACATGGTCATAGCAAGAAGGAGACAGAGGGAGGAGAGGGAGAAGTGCACGGAGAAAGGCAAGCAGAGCTATCGAGTGAGGAATGTGGGTTAGGTTTTTCTGGTTTTTCTTTTATGTTCTCACATTTTCTCATTCTCATCTCTTGTTCCTCTCCTGTGCCCTTCTCAAAAACGTCCTCTTCAGTCTTGCATTTTGACTTCAGCCGTCGCTGACCAAACTTCAACTTCATCCACACATCCATCCGTCTGTCCCTCTTTTCTCCCTTCCCCCCCCCTCACTCTATCTCTCGCTCTCCTCAGACAGACACAGCTACCCTCCTGGACGTTTCCTTTCTGCCGGCCTGCCCCAACAAAGGTGCTCAGTCATGTGAAACCTAATCTCCAGCCCCCCAAAACCTGACCCTTGACCCCTTCAGTCTTCACACAGCCAGAGGGGGAGGGGAGCTGAGGCAGGAAAGGGAGGCTTTTGGGAAAAGGTCACATTCCCGAAGACACTTTTGTGTGCGCACGTGTGTGTGTCTGTGTGTGTGTTTGTGAGCGTGCAAGCACCCAATCCATTATGTGGTTTGTGTTCCCGAGTAAGCATGTGTGTTTGATTGTCTGTCTGCATACAAACATGCATGGGGGTAAATTTTCCTTTATACCCCTCTGTACTTAACTGCCTTTTAAATTTTCATGCGTGTGTTCTATACGTGACTGCTGTGTAGCAGATATAAGCATCTGCGTGCATAGTCACACTGTACATACATATGTCCGTGTTTATGAGAAATCACTTTCAGCCCTGAAGCATTGCTGCCCATAGACAAAACACAGACTTTGTTTTCCAGCCAGGCCAGACCTGCAAGTCTTGTCTGGGCAGAGCTCTCTCCTTCCACCCTATAATGGCAATCCTCAGATCTTTGTGCATGTGTGAGTGTGTCTATGAAACGGTGTGTATATGTGTGAGGCACTGGGTGTCAGCTGTCCTGGGTGATTAGTGCTTTTATATTGTTCCAAGGAGTCCGGACGAGGCCCCTCTTCGCTGCACCCCAGCACAGCTGCAGTCTGCTTCGCCATCTCTGCTCTTCAGCCTTTTCTACTGACACTCGTGAGTTAGGCTCAGACCCAAGAAAAAATTAGGCTGAATCAGAGGCAAGAACAAAAATAAAGCATGAGAGAATCTATATAATATAGGGAATGAATAACGGGGGGTTGGGAGAGATAAATAAGCACAATCCAGTGACAGCTGACACAAGAAGGAAAAAGAAGCAATAAAGAAAAGTAGCAAGGTAGAGGAACAGACAGAGAGGGAGCATTGGGCAGGGAGAAGCAGCATATTGGGAGGATTACAGAGTTGATTTAGCGTCCCTGCTATTTGCTGGACGCGCTCTCCAGAGCTATGCTGGGAGGCCTTTACAGCATCAAACACGTGCGAATGAGAAAGATAAATTATAGGAAAAGTAAAAGAGGAAGGTAGTAATCTTCATCTTCACAGCACTTTTTGTGAAGTCTTTTAATTAACATAATAAACGAATACATTTCTTGCCCTCCAACTGAGAATTCTTGTAAGATTAGTATAATATATTCTTTATTTTCTCTGACATTATTTTCCCAAATTTCATGAACAAAACAAGTCTAAGATTATAAGAATTTTTTAACATGTAAAACTCACAAAAAACAAGACAAAAAACTTTGCAGTCAGAGTGCAGTGACTGTTAAATTTAGGAGTTAAGGATATATGTTTATGTATGGAGGAGGAGGAGGAGGAGGAGGAGGAAGGCAGGGAATTGCAGGCAAGGGCCAAGAGTCTGCTATGGGAAAAGTATGTCTGCTATGCATGGGTTGATTGGTGGCAGGATTTGTGGACCAAAGCATTGTTGTACTCCTGACATTGAACTTGGGTGATCTTAGATTAGTGGGCGGGAGTAACCCCCCTGCTAAAGATTAGAAGTGTGTATATGTGCAAGAACACACACAGGGTTCCTCTCTCCCAACACCCACCCAACCAGCCTCACTTCCTTGCAACTCTGCTTTATCTCAACTGTCAACACCTGGCCTAAGCAGGAACCTCTCTCTATCTGTGAACTTTAATCTGGCCCTGCTAGGCAAACAGCACCAGGCTCGGACAAGGAAAGCGATTAGTCTGTCACATTGCCCTCCAGTGCTTCAGCAGGGTTAGGAGGAAACAGGGAAAGGAGTGGTCTGAAAAAGAAAAAAGAGATTTGGACACAGGCACATATATAAAGTCAGATAAAGGACGATAAAAGTGAAGACCAAAGGCAAGAAGGGCAAAAAGAGACAGAAAGAAAGCTATTGCTAGAGGTGTGGGTGGGGAAACTAGGGGGGTAGGGTGAATAGAAGTTTGCTGGAGATATAACACAGATCTTTAGCTGACCTAACAAGGCCACTGCCCACAGATATGATTGTAAACTTCCACCCTGATGACATGTGATCCAAGCTGACCCATGCAAACATATCTGTGGAATGTATTAAAATGTTTATGCAACACTATTAATTGTCTTATACAGTATTGTGACTGTGCATACTATGATCAACAAAAAAGTAAATTAATAAAAGCACCAAATTCAAATATGTATGTAATACTTTTTATTATTTTTCAAGACAAAATGGCTGAGTGAAGAGAATAATGCAGACAACGGCTGAAAATAGAGTGGCATCTCCATAACTGAAAAAAAAAACAACAACAATAAATTCTTTAATTCAAGCAAGAACTTGTAAATGTTGGTCAATGACCTTTGGTCATCATAGAAATTAAGCCATCACACTTCATCAGGAGAGAGAAAACTGAACAGATTTGTTTTGCAGTGACTGTGTTCTGAATGGAACATGCGTGTTTGTAGTCATAATAAATAATGTCAACCAATGCCAAAGGTCAACTTCAAGTTCAGGTTAGAACAAACAGCTTGAGAGTAAATACACAGGATGAAATAAGGTTGAAAACCTATATGTACCTTAGTACCGTCAGCATGGATAACATGTACCAAACTTTTCTTCGCATGAGTTCAGTTATTTAGAATATGCCTTGCATATGAGATGTACCATATTTAAATTATAAAGCACCGTGGATCTTTTGGCAATGAAAAAAAACAATCTGTAGCAAAAAAATAAAATAAAAATCTTTCAGATTAATGTTGAATTGATTGCATATGACAAAATGTCCTTAAAAAAAAAAAGCAAAACAGCTGGAATGTTTTTAGGTGGTACATGATCAAAGACAGTAAAAACTTTTCTACCAAGAAAACCCAACAATAGCTTGTATTACTGCATATAAAATGGCAGGAGAGAAAAATATATAAAACAAACTAAAAAGATATGTACAACCACCTGTTTTTACCTCATTGTGGTCACTCCAGCGGGACTGCCTGAAAAGGCCATCATATGACCTCTCACCCTTGGGGAACACCACAACATTTTATTTTTCAGAAATACTTATTTTCAAGCATACAAATTATTCACACTATATTATCCTGCCAAATTAAGAAAATATACGGTGGCAGCTTGTTGGGATTTTTTTTTCACTACAGAAAAAGGGTACATTGAAACCTTTAAAGAGTACAGGCAAAACAGTTAAAAATACAGGCTCCAACATAAATACTATAAGTGCCTACACTAAGTGAACATTAATTTCAAATACCATTCTAAATACAGGAAAAAAAGTAGACCATAAATGTGTTTTGAACATAGGAACTTACATGAGTGTGCAATTTCCTAAGTATTTTAAGTTCTCTCTATATATGTATATATCATAAATCTCTCCCCAATGCAAATTTTTGTTCAACCTGAAGACTTGTGTATAGTAAAGGCAAAAAACATGAGAGACATTACAGTTCATTACATAGTGATCAAGTCCTGGTGTCTCCAGGACAGAAAAGAGAAACAACAGTAAACAAACAAAATTTAAATAAGGTTCTCCCCTAAAGATATTGATGTTTTACTTTTTTTTTTTTAAAATCAACAGCACATTTTACTTATCTGTTTAAATCAAATTTGTAGAATTTTTATTTTTCTGTACTGAGCAGTATATTTCTATAGTTTGTAGTATGAAGCAGGATGTTTCTATGGCAGTTCCTGCATTATTACTTCCAAGATCCAAACCAATGTTTAGTTCTCAGAAGGAGACATGGCTGGCAACAGTTTCTAGTTCAACATTCTTTTTCTTCTTTTTTTTTCTTCTTTGTTTCTTTTAATGCAAAGCAATGACACCACACTAATCTGTCAGCATAAGAGCTAGTTTTCCCTTGAGCGTCCGACTGTAAACTGGGAAAATTGAACAGTGCACGTAGGCAGTACCAGACCTGAAATCCGGTACTCATTTTATACTCAACCGACTGTACCTCCGATTAGAGAGACAGATACAGAATCCAAGGCAGAGTGACAAGTGCTATATCATCAACAATGACAGGGAGTGAAGACTAAAAATTTAAAAAATAAAATAAAATAAAAAACATGGCTACCATGCGTAGGTCTAGACAAACGAAAAGAAAACTAAATGTGAAAAATTAAAACCTTGTCTGCGAGGGAAAATTTGCTGATTTTTTTCAATATTCTTGTCCTTTGATTTAGAATCACATTTTGGATTTCAGTGTGACTTGTTAAAAAAAATTTGGATCGCTAAACAGTTTCTAAGATCTAATGCGGTGACGGGAAATAACACTACAGCGACATCGATTTTTGAATTGTAGAGACACCTGGTAAACCCACTCCCCACTTACTACCCTGAACATCATCCACCCTTATGCTCTTACACCCACCCAACCCTCACCTGAAAAAATCTGTCTGGCTTACAACAACTAAATCCCACACTGGGGTCTTCAAGTGGCTGTTGGCGGACACCAAAGAAACATTACTCTGTGTTACTTGCAAAAAACACCTGCAAATTGTTTAATTATCAAAGAAAATAAACTCTGAAAAATTAAGAGCTTTATGTTGGTAAAACAACTCGCCAGAGTACCCCCTCAGTACGGTACCAAAAAACATATTCACCTATACCAAAACTCTACACCAAACTCAAGCATGTAACATGCCCGTAAACAGAACTGTAATCTCGAAAAAAAAAAAAAATCTACAGGAGGCAAGCAGATAAATGATTCACCAGAGATACACGTAATGTTTTTTTTCTTTTTTTCTTTTTGTTTTAGCTGGTTCTCTATGCTCCACTAAGTAAAAAAAAAACACAAGGGTCGTACAGGTGCTTGATGCAAGGACCTGCTTATTTCATATGTGCACAAAATGTTGTGTAATCTTTTATAGCTGAAACTCCGAGCTTATAGCAAAAAGGAGGATTAACTAATGCAGGTAAAATATCCAAGGCACTCGTTGTTGTCATTTCACACCATATTGTTAATTTCACTGCTGTTTGTAAAAGAAATATTTAATGGCGCCAGTGCCTAGCATTTCATAGGCGGCCTAATTCTCTCTATATATATTTATCATATCTAAATGTTGCATGGAAAATCTTTCACAAAGATCAGTTTTTAAGTGTGACCCTGCTTGTCTTGATGTTTTGATTATATGACACTGCCCACTATGTTTGAACTCAAAACTGTACATGATATGTAAAACAGTATGTACTGTATGCAGCATGGGTTTTAATAAGTCTTTTTTTTTTATGTTGAAGAAATCAAAAGTATAAACAGCAACACATGTACAACCAAACCCACCAGCTGAGGACAATTTTCTCTCTAGGTAGCCAAAACACACAGAGCATGCTGTCCAGTTACAAAAAATACAAAACGTGTAAATTATTGCACAATAGAAAGGCTCAAAAAGTTTTAAGTGTGATGCAATAGTATTGCCCCGGTAATGGATCATGCATCTAGCTTCTTCCAGTCGGGATGAAAACAGGGCTGTACTGTGTACTGGTGTCTAACCCTGTTGTCCTTTCCCCTTACTTATTGGCTAGTTAGCCAGGGTTGCTTTTTAGCCAGAGGAGCTGAGAGAGAGCAACCAGCATGCTGCTCTTTGCCTACTCAGTCTTAATGTCATTAGCCAGAGGGCGGTCGCTGTGCCACTTTTTCATGTGTTTCTCCAGAGTGCTGTATACACTGAAAGGCATGTGGCAGATTTCACATTTGTACACGTCCTTGCCCATCTGTCCATGGGTCTTCATGTGACGGGTGAGCTTTGAGCTCTGAGCGCACGCATAGCTGCACAGCTCGCATTTGTAGGGCCGCTCTCCAGTATGACTGCGTCGGTGCACAGTCAAGTTGCTGCAGTTCTTAAACACCTTGCCACAATATTCACAGGTGTCACTGCGGCGACCATCCTTCGAGCTCGGCCTGCCATTGCCGCTGACACCGTGGGGAGTGCTGGCCCCGCTGCCGGTGCCGCTCCGTACTGATGCGGCACGTTCCCCATCGAGTTCACCGGGTGGAGTAGAGAAGCGCAAGCTGCCGTTTTCTGAAGAGTGCTCAGATGAAGAGGCAAAGGGTGATTGTCTGGAGTCCCCACCTGTGAAGCTGATGAAGGGGTCCTTGAGTTGCCGGGAGGCAGCGTAGCCAGCAAGCCACTGAGAGTAGACGTTCTCTGTGTTTGGGATTGTGGGAGTGGGAGGGTCAAGGTCTTTCTCTACCTTGATGCGCTTGGACAGGGGACTGAGGGAACCAGGACTGACCCCTCCACCCAACAGCTTCCTGGACAGGTTGTCATTAGATAGAGGTCTCAAGCCATTGATAGTAGTAGTGGTTCCGTCATCTGCCCGGTCTGACTCCATGGCTGAGTTTTCATCAATAGGCTCCCTGGATAAGCTCCGGCGATGTGGGTGCAGAGCCTCGCTGTTCTGGTGATGGCGAGCCCCTTCAAGCCTCAAGCTAAATCGGTAGTCATTCCTTCCCTCTTCTTCTACTCCAGGCTTTCTCTCAATTTCCTCCTCCTCCCCCTCCTCCTCTTCTTCCTCCTCCTCCTCTTCTTCTTCTTCTTCTTCCTCTTCCTCATCATCTTCCTCTTCCTCCTCCTCCTCTCCATTTTCAGGCAGAAGGCCATTGTTCTCACTTTTGAACTTTGCCACCACTGACTTGAGTGCATCTGTGGCACTGCCCATCAGTTCACTCGTACCAGGTTCAGGTGAGCTTGCAGTTGAAAGACCATCATCTGACTTGGCATTAAGAAGTGAAGACTTACTCTGACAATGTGTCTTCATGTGACGTTTTAGTTTGCTAGCCTGTGTGCAGGCATGGTTACAGAGGTGACACTTAAATGGCTTTTCCCCTGTATGGCTACGCCGGTGAACAATAAGGTTGCTCTGGAATTTGAAGGTCTTCCCGCAGAACTCACAAGATTTTGCTTTGAGAGGGGTGGTCGATTGGACTGCATTTGTTACAGGATTAGGTGTGGAACGTGAGCCAGAAGGTGACTGAGAGGTGGAGAGGGGAGGTGTTGCTGAAAATGGAGGCTTAGAACCTGGCTGGAAAGGCTGCAGCAGCCGTTGCATAGGGTTGGGTCTGTTAGGGGAAAGAGGCGGAGAACCTCCTGTGGCATTTCCGGCCAGCTCACGTAGACGTCTAGAAAAGTCCATGGTCTGAGGGGCTTCTAATGGCACAGAGTTCAGCCTCATCACCCGGTCAAAAGCACTGGGATGGTGTGTTGCCAAGGCTAAGTCATCAGGGCTGAGGTGATGGCGCGGTGGTGGGCTGAATAGCGGTGGCGTTCGGGGATAGCGGCCCTCACGAGGCGTGGACGCTGAATCCCGACCAGACCCAGAACCCGGCATTCTCAGGAGGCTGTAAGGGCTGCCATCAGCCAAGTGTACAGCATGAAGAGGGGGCTGGGAGGAATTACAGTCACCCCCCATTCCGGGAGCTGCAGCCACACGAGGGGTGAGGGGGCTGCCGGGCTCGCTCTCCAGATAGATACGGAAGCCATGGGTGTTCTGGGCATGCTGGAGCAGGAACCAGGCACTGGTGAAAGGCTGTTTGCATGTGGTGCAGGTGTAACTGCTGGGCTCATCTTTATCTGACAAAAAGAAACACACAGAGAGAAAATAAATGTAAACTGGGAGATTCAAACTATAAAAAGAACATTAGTAATTTTATTAACACCATATATTATTATAAAAGGAAACATGATGCTTAAATAATGCAAGTAGGGTTTTAAAATAGGTAAAGTAATTATCAAAAACCAAGAGAATATAGACTAATTTCACAACAGCCTATAAAATATCTGCGATCACTTCTGACCAGAACTATTATGATTAGATGAAGGTATTGAATAACATTTTTAAAAAAAACTAATTTTACAATTGCACTCTATTTAAAGAGAGCAAATTATTCTTCTTAGTAAAATTGTTATTGCTCAATATCACAGCTATAAAATGTGAAAACTGTGTGTGCGTGTGTGTGTGTGTGTGTGTGTGTGTGTGTGTGTGTGTGAATTTAGATTTAACACTTAACAGAACAAAAGATAAAACACAATTACAAGAGACAGGCAGCAAACACACAAATTACACGGGAAGAAGGCATAGGAATATTTAAAACAATAATTGACTTTCAATAGCACTTGCACACTGACCTGAGATTTGCCTGACAATGCACGCCTAATCTCGTTAAAAACACTCATCTCCCCTCCAAAGCCTTGTTTACAGAATTAGCAGGGCTAAAGTGGGACATGTATCTGATGCTGCATATTAACACTGAATACAAATAAGAGGTCACATGTTAATAAATTGTACCAGCGTTTATCACAAAAAACACACATTCACAGGAAAAAAAGAAGCGAAGAGGAAAATTGGGTATGTGTGTTTGTGTGTGGGTGGGGAGGCTCCAATGAAAATGCATTTCATGCATTACTTTTCTATTTCTGATATTTCATGCTTTATGGATTTATTTAAATCCTCTCAGGTGAATAGAAAAGGAGAAGAAGGAGAAAGAAGAAGTGAGAGATATGCAAAATAAGAAGCATCCGCCACTTGCAAATGTGCTCCCTCTTTCATCTTTGGGGTTTCTTATCATTTCTTCCCTTTTTTCTTCTTTCACTTGAGGGCATTTTTCTGAAGTCATTTGCCAATGCTGAACCCAAACCATGGCCATACTGTGTTTGAAGAGGGAAAACAAGGGAGCGGGAGAGAGGATGATAGGCTATGTGTGCCTGATTGAAACTATGGGTGATCCCTAAGATGGTGGATGGACAGTTTTGCATGTTTTAAGCCTTCTACTTTTGAAGCAAAAGGGTGAGAGGGGCCAGAAAAATATAGTGACAGTCTAAAAGAAAGAGGAGGGATGTGGTGGATGAGCAACATAGGGAACGGATTGGTGTTTTTTGGTTTGTTTCTCTATCTTATGTGTCCAGAGTCAATGTGGCCCCCTCTGAACAATCTCACTTAAAGACCAGGACACAGCTAAAATGTGCACCCAATCAAACCTCCACACAAACCTTTTTCTCTTGACTGAAAAGAGTTGGAAGGGGGTATACTGGTAAATTATGGATCATTACAATCTGCAAAAATTACAGTTAATTGCTGCCACCTGCAAGGGGCTTTGACCCACTATGGAATTTTTCCATCATAAAAAAGCCATTTGCCCATACACATTTTTTTCTCCCTCTCTCATAAGCACAAATAAAATGTGCCCATTACATTAACTGCTATATGTATGTTTCCTTATTATGTGTGTGTTTTTATGGCTTTAAGTAGAAAGCCCCGTGTCACTTGTAAAACAGTTGCAATAACCTGGTCTCTCCCGTTCACTTTGCTTTGATTCAGTCTACACGCTTCCTCATCCTCGTCTTAATGTGCGAGCACACAGTATATATGCATGAGGGGGGAAAATAGATTAATTTTTTTTGTTATTGTGAAGGACAAGAAAGAAGGAGGGGCTGGCTGGAATGTGAGACGTCCGTGTTTTTAGAGGAAAGTGAGCACTAAAGGATCATGGAAGGAGGCAGGGGGGAAGGAAGGGAGCAAAGGAGAGAAGTGTGGCGTGAAGGAGACATTCCTAATGACAACCCACCATATTTCTGAAGGACACAAGAGCCACAAGAATGCACTTCAAAGCCAGTATTCAATTCATTTTCTTATGCATCAAAACCAGCATGTCTTGTGCTATGCAATCACTACTCCATCTATAGACATTTGACAAACTGTGTTCATGCCACAAGCAGTGATGATAATTGTTATTCCCATCCGAGCAGTGGACACATTGATGGGCATCAACAAGCCAGACCAACACATGCCCAGATTTACAACAATGGCAGAGGAGATATCTAAATAAGCCCACTATTGTCCTTAATAGCTGTCCTCAAAGGGATGGAAGGACAGCTTTTCAAAAGGATAAAAGACATTCTGACGAGGCGTTTGATGGCCTTGAAGGGTTTTTTTTTTTTCCTTTTTCTGCTTGTATGGAGAAGCACGAAACTGTGCGAGGGAGGAAGGATGATCTTATAAATGAGTCTGTCCTCTAATAGAATAAAGGAAAGCTCTCCCTCGCTTTCTCAGTCCGTTTCTCTTCTTCTAGTAACTTTAAGTCTGTGATGAGTTAGGGCTGGAGAGCAGAAGAGCAAGAGAGCTGGAGCTAATGCTGAATCTACACGTCCCTTTGAAATAGGATCAGCAGAGAGGAGAAACCACACTGACAACCCCTTAGCTGCCATTTCATGGCAGGGGCTGAAAGAAGAGACTGTGAAGGAAAGAGGAGACAGAAAGAATATAGAAGAAGTGAGAAAGGGCAGGTGGTTTGGGAGCAAAAAGTTAGAAGGATGACAGAGAAAAGAAAAATAGAAAGTAGAAGATACACAGTCAAAGGAATGAAATGGGAGGTTTACAATTCCTTCAAAGACTTTCGAAGCATTGCAACACAAAGCAGCGGGAGGCTATTATTGTGATATTAATGGACATTGCACTGATATCAGAGAGAAATGATTTGATCTAGGGGTAGGCCTGTTGCAAGGACAGAAGAGAAATTGTGATAAGTCAAAGAGAAGATAAGGTAGCCTCGCAGCAACACTCACAAAACATCGGAGCCAACAATTTTGACCAAAGTCATACAGAATCCTGAAATTCTAGGCAACTGAGGAACACATTGCTTGTGCATATTCCTCTATCGTTAATGGCCCATTTCCCATAATTAGTCTTACTTGCACTCTCTCAACAACATGTACTTACACAAAGAGTAGCTATACCACCCTGTTCCACGTTGTCCCATAAGCCCAAACACTGGCAAAACCACAACAAAATCAAGTAACAGACACAAAGACAACCCATTGACCAAGTGCTGGCAAGTTAAAGATGCACTGACACAAAAATGTCAACAGCTTTCTCTTCCTCACCCACCACTCACAGATGTATTGTTTACAACTATTTAGCCATACAATAAAAAGTTAGCAGACTTACCATGCCCTCCATTTTTATTTTTATTTTTGTCCTTGACCAGTTGCGATAGTGGGCTGAGCCTGTCCTGGTGTGACCATGCAGCTTTCACTGATATTGGTCATTTAGCTAATGGAGGAATGGGCTAACAGGATTAGCTTGCTTGGCTTCCAAAGGAGGAGGAAGCCACAGAGACAGAAGACACGAGGGACACAGTGTGTCACTGCCATTTCTCAAAGTTATCAGTCGCTATGGCTCGAGAGAGCACTCACACACACCTGAAAAGTGATTATGCTAATAGAAGGTCTTTGCCAATATTCATAAGTGTTTATAGGTGTTGGAGTGAGTGCCTCGGGAAGACAGAGGGTTGTCAATACAGTGCCTCTTAAGAGTGCCTCGGCCGTAACTCCTGTTAATGTGATTACCACTCTGTTTATGTCATTAGGGTATTCACAGTCAGGGACTGGACAGGGGTGAAGGGTGAAGCAGGAAAGGAGAGGTTGAGGAAAAAGATGGGGGAGTAACAGAAGCTCACAATAGGGGCCTTCTTGGTTTACATGACTTTCAGCTCAGTTAACAACAGAACTGTAATTTTTCATTAGCAGCTTTAGAGACTAAGAGAAGGATCTGTCATATGCCTCATACATGTTATCACCTTAAGTTTTTTCTCTGTCTCTGCTTTTTTTTTCTTTGTGTGTGTGTCTGAAACCTGATAGAGCAAATGGACTGGCCTTGACCTTCTTTCTTACTTCTACGTCTCGATCTGTTTGTCTGTGTTTCTCTGCCACAGCCACATACACCCAGCTCTTTGTCCCAGCCAGGCTCGTTATGGTGCGCTAAGCCACTGGCCACAGACAAAAGGCTTGTTTGACAAACACTTGTTCCTGAGACAAAGCCGGATGCAGGAAATACAGTTTACTAAACAGAAAACCAGCCAACACTGACTGGTGTTGGAGTCACACATTATACAGTATGGGGAAGCTGACCACTACTCACTACATAAGGCACAAATGTAGGGAAAGTGAAAAGGAGACACACAATGAGG